GATGAGAACAAGATCAATGGTTTTATGCAGTTTCTATGATAAAGTGAATGTTTTTAAGCGGCATGGTGCTGCCACCACAGCACCATATATTTTCCACCTCCCTTATAATGATCCTCAGTAGAAACAACTGCCATGGTATTTCTGCTGTGTCTTCTCTCTGCCCTCATCTCATGTTATTGGCTTGCATAGGGAGGAGAGGAATGAATGTGTAACATTACCCATTACTTTGTTTTTGTTGTTACAAGACAAAGAAGAGTGGGAGTAACTTTGTCCAATTCAACTGTCTAGTTTGCCCCCGAGACTCTGTGTCAGGATGGGGAATCATGGTTTCCCAGATGCTGCTGAGCTAGACCTCTCTGTTTCCCTCACCATTTGCCATGCTGATTCAGGATGAAGTGCTGCAACACTTGGAGGTCCCAATAGAAGAGAATATATGTAGCTCAGGGTTGGACTGTAGTCCTTGGGGTTCTCTGAACTTGGTTGTTTTCTTGCAGATCTTTTATTACATGGCTAGGTAATACCTTCATCTCGCAGCATCAAAAGGATACGACCCCAAAACAGCTGGATAAGCCCTAATGGCACAGGGAAGGTTATGTTCCGGAACTCGACTCAATGACTTGGAGATCTGTGGATTCTCCATCCTTTCTCTATATAAAAAATATTTCTGTGTTGATATGATAACTCGTACAATATAGTTATTGGTAGTAAATTGGTAATCACTTCCCTCTACAATTGTCTGTAATTGTATGGAAATTAATTCTAGCGATTTAAATGCAATTGGTGTGCAAACAAGTTTATATATTCGATTTAGTGTTGACTTCTGGCAACTGCCTGGACAAGACTCTGGAATTTTAATGGCAAGATTTTCAGAAATGTTTGCCTTTGCCTCCTTTCTAGGGCTGAGAGAGAGTGACTGGCCCAAAGTCATCCAACTGGCTTTCATATTAGAGGCAGGACTAGCACTCACAGTCTCCTGGTTTCTAACCTGGTGCCTTAACCACTACACCAAACTAGCTCTTCCAAACAGTTATGCTGTGCAGGGTTCTATGTTTGTATAAAATGAGAAGGAGTCTGATAGCCCTTTCTTAGAGTAACAATTTTTATTAAAAGGCATAAACTTTAATGAGCTCACTTCATCATATGCAGTGAGGTTGATCAATTTAGCCACCAATGGCTGGTGAAGTGAGCCATAGCTCATGAAAGCTTATGCCTTTTATTAAAATGTGTTAGTCTGAAAAGGGCCACCAGACGACTCCTGATTTTTGGCTAGCATAAACTAACAGCTCTTTACTTGTGTAAATCTCACTGAATTCTTTTGAACATTAATTTATATGTGTGTGTATGTGTGTCTATACACATGCATACATACATACATACATTTCTATCTAAGTAATTAAATTAGGAATAGTGTAAAGATTTCTTTAAAGAAACATAAAAATTAAACTGCAGCTGCCATCAGGAATGTGTGCACAAAGAAATTAACATTTCTATAATCCTTAAAGAAGGTTTTGATACTAGGTTGAAGAGTTTAGCGTTACTGCTTTAGTGCTTCAGCCAATCATCCTAAATAGCTCAGCAGGACTGGGAGTCCATTTTGTAACAAGCTTCTCTTAAAAAAAAAATAGTAAAGGAACTGCATTCTGGCTCCATTCAGCTGCAAGCATTATCATGAAAAGTGCAGTAGATTAATATTTAATTGTTTGTTTGCTGCTGCAGAGACTCCTCTGTCTCATGCTGTATGTATCCAGCTACTTAAAGGTAATGTCTGCCAGCAGGGGAGCAAATGATCTCTTCTCTATTCAAAAGCACAACAAGATGGTTAAAAACAACAACCCAACAACCTACAGTGACTTGCTTTAAAATAATCTTAATGCTTATTTATATAGTATTGTAGGAGGGGGGGAAAGGAGGTTCTTTCAAACAGATTGTTTTAAAACAAATGTTGTCCCAAGGTTGATTTTCCATTGAGTTTAACTCTTCACATGGCTACATCCAGAAGATGAATTTTAAATTTGTCTGTAGCTGGTGCTGTTAAAAATCAACATATCGATATATGCCTAGGATGTGAAAGCTGAGGATGAGACAAATCAAAAGTGGACACTGTGCAAAATATCCATTCTAGAGGCACTTTTAATATTAATTAATTGTATCACCAGAGTTGTGGGTCAGAACCAATGCCATTAAAACTGACTGGCAAAAATGATACTACACAACGGGTTGCCACAAAAGATTCCTATTTTACTTCAACAACCAAACCTATATTAAATATTCTGCCACAATACAGGGGATAGGCATGTATTGACCAGGCTAAGAGGCATATGATGCATAACACTGATTGCACTGTGGTCACTTTTCTCTAGAGAACATGGCAGACTGGCATCAAGCAGGGGTGTCCGACTCAGATCCTCCCAAGTGCTGCATGAGGATTGGTTCACTAGCCTGAGGGCTGCAAGACTGAATCCTTTTCGTACATTGATACAAAAGTCTCAGTGAGTCCAAAGTGAAAAGTATCCCAGTGTGATAACTGGCAATGGTTTTCATAAACCAGAGCCCCCAGATTTGGTTTTATTGCTGATTCATTTTTTTTAAGGCCTACCCAGGATGAATGATACAATCTAGCGAATCCAGTTTACGAGGATGGTGAAATTCTCCTTTTTCCTTTTCTCTTTTTGCTAAGCAGAAATCTTTTTATTTACTTTCCCTCGTCTCTTCTTGCCTGACAGAGGGCTTCCCTCCTGCTTCTGCCTAGGAAAGAGATCTTGCTGGGTTGCTATCTTTCCAGCTTCTTGTTCAGCACCCAGACCTGGTGGTCCTCCTCCTCTGCAGCCTCCTGGTCTGCTTTCCTGGCCAAGCCTTGCCTCCCTGCTGCTCCTGCCCAAAGACCTCAGGCCAACCTCAGAAACAGCACTTGCCCCAGAACCCGAGAGCAAGCGGGGGCTTCCTGAAGTGCAGTGTTTCTCAGAACAACAGGCCTCAAGGCACCAACTCTGAACCCCATGTTGCCAGAAGTCCCTCTGGGCTGGAGCAAGGTGAACCACCCAACCACTGGCCCCAGGCCCCTCCTTTTCCTGGCATGCTTCCATGGCCCAGCCTGTGCATCTTCCAGGGCTCGGTATCCTGGCCTTGTTGGACAGCATTTAACCTACAAAGTATTGCTGTGGGCCACAGAAAATTACTTGAGGCTGCAAGTTTGAGACCCCTGGCATAAAATCAACTTAGAGGATACTTGAGAGAACTTATATGGTTCAAAACTGATGGCACAAGTTCCAGTCCTGAAATTCAGGATGAGTTAGTTACAATACTGTAATACCAATAATTGCAAATGGTATATGCATATATAAATATTAATAAAATTTCAGGTGGGGGGGAGGATTCAGTATTTATAATTTTATAGCACATCTTTTTTTGCTTTTTAAAGTTATAAACCACCCATGTAAAGGAGGCAAGACTGCCCTGAGTCATATTTTATAGAATCGGAGAGCACTGTTCTCAAATCTCCTCCAGAAAAGAAAAGGTTATGCAGCCTAAGGTAGCATTAACTTTTTTAGTATGTATGTTGAACTTTTGGACTAGGTCATGTTCAGCTTATCATCAGTTGAACAGAAATCCCCTGACCAGCCCATGAGAATTGTATCCTTGTTCATTGTTCCTATATTGAACAGGATGTGTGATATGATAACCTCCAAAATCTGATTATTTTTGCTATCATTTGCACAAAGGGCTTTCAGAAACATGCAGGATTAACTTCTGTCCATTGATGCTTCTACACACATTGACAATACTGCCAAACTCATAATAGGCTGAGTCTGAAGGGGGCAGCTTTATCATGTATAAGGGAGTTTCAGTAAGAGAAGATAATCCTGATCAGGCAAGATACTCCAACGGGTGGCAACTCATGAGGTTCAGGCACTCTTTGGAAGAAACAGACTTTCTAGGTTGTAGTTGAAGCCCGATTCTGACATGACTGGTTGTAATAGTTACTGCCTCCCAAATGGGTAGAAATAGAAATGCTGTTGGGTATTTTATAAAATCTGCAGAGAAATCTCTTTTCTCAGATTGTTCCAGTTCTACCCAAGACTTGAGACTGCTGTCACCTGAGGTGAGACTGTCAATGTTTTCGCTTCCTTAAGTTTCCCTGCTATGGAGTGCCTCTCCCCAAGAGATCCACCTAGGCCCTACTTTGCTATCCCTCTGTCAGCAGGTGTTTTTTTTTCTTAGACTAGTATGCCTTTTCATATATTTCTGCTCTGTTTTGCTTTTAAGCAGTTTAATTTCTGTGTTCTTAAGTATCTTTTTGCCACTGTGCCTTGGCTTCTGCAGCCTTTGTTATGGCTTACCCTGATTTGATTTAGTGTTTTTATTATCCATCACCAGGGGAGATTTTAGCCATAGGGCAGCTAATAAATCCTAAGACGTAAATGAAAAATGCATTAGGATGCGGTGATTTTAAGCACTGATTCATGCATATATGCGGCTTCCTTTATCAAACACAAAAAAACAACTAGCAGTACACTGAAGTACACGCGAGGTACAAGTGAATTCGCTTTATTGTTTCCCGCAGTCCTTGGGTCGGTAGCCCTGCACCCAACCCGTTCGCCCTTATCAAACCCTGCGGCGCTGAGCGATCCCCGCGCTGCTGGCCTCTGAAGACCACGGCCTGTGGCTTCTCCTTCGCCGCCACCTGACCCCCGGCCCGTCTCTCCGCGTTCCGCTCGTCACACCCCCGCCAGAGGCGCCTGCCTGCCTGCCTGCTGAGCCCCCCGGAGCCCAGGTCCGCCCCGAAAGTGGAGGGCGCAGCGCAGCGGCTCCCCGGCCCGTCATTTCGCCTCCCTGGAACATGTGACGCCGCGCTGCGTCGCGTCGCCCCTGGAACGCGCCAGGCCAGGCTCTCCGGGCGGTTGTTCCCTCCAGCAACCGCCCCAGCGCGCGGCC